CATAGTTTGATGTTTCTTTTCCTCTGTCTTCTCCTGTCACACTTTTTGTCTTTTACCAGGGCTAAGTGGCTCTCATAACTTTAAGAAACACAAGACAAGATAAAGACAACTGAACTGGAAAGTGTAAAAGAATGAGTTTATAGGTTTCCCTGTTGTCATGCAGGTACTCCTTTTAAAATGACCAAGCCATATTATTTATAGATGGCTGATGTTTTTTAAAAAGAAACATTACCAAAATGGGGGTTCTTTTATTATCTCACTAATCATTCTGTGGTAGAAAAGAGCAACAGCAGGTCTTTTCTTCCAGATTCTTAATTTAACTTGAAAGCAAGGAATGGGCTCAGTTAGATGTGAAATGCAAACAGTTCTCTATTTTTTTCATTAAATAAACTGGAACATGAATATTCACATGGATGTCATTGCACAACATCAGTTTACAGCCAAGGTACCTGAAGATAATTGTTTTTCTATCTTCCTTGACTTGGGATCATGCCACAGCCACGTGCTGACCCCAGGACTGGGGTTTGTACCCCAATGACACCTGGGCTAGAGGAGAGCTGTGATTTGCTCTCATCAGCTCTGAACTTGTTGATTGGGCCAGCAAGACTCCAGTCTGAGTTCTGGTACTGCGTGCCCGAATGTCAGGAGTTAGAGTGCATCCTTCCTAGACTTTTCCTTCAGGGTTTGGGAAGAATTTCACTCACACATTATTTCCAGAACACTCTTGCCAAAGAATAGTCTATTTTCTCTGTTAACTTTTATCCTTGTCTTTCTGCTGTTCAGTTACAAAGCCCAAGATGTGTTGACTATCAGGTCAAAACCTTGCACATACCTGTTTCTCAGGAAGCTCTTTGGAGACATAATGTACAGAAAGTGCAGGGTTGGTACAATGGATACATACTAATTTTTAAAAAGGAAATTGCTCTATTTTTGTTTGTCTTTCCCATTTATATTATTTCAAAACCAGGTGGTAATGAGCATATTTATTTTTCTGGGCACATTACTAGACATTAAGTAGGAGTCTTGGGCATCTCAAGGGAAATAGAGACACAGAGATAGAGGATGGAAACCAACACTGCAGTGGCTTCCTCACAGACATTTTTCTGTGTCAGTGATTTTAGTTACATGCCATAATGTAGTGAGATTGGATTTGCAGAGCCAAGAGGGAACTTTGGAAAAAATGGTCCACGTGAGAACCAGGTGTGAACATGCCCAGAGGAGCAAAATCCATTTTCAGCTATAGGGACAATTAAAAGTCAGCCGGACCTCAGAGGCCAGATTTAATTAATCTGCTCATTGAAATCCAAGTAGTTTTACTTTCATGCTTGTCAATATGATTTCCTTTTCCAGAAGGGCAGTCACCTTGCTGTTGCTTTTGAATCCCACTTTGCACAGCACTTTGCTACTCAAAAATCATAAAATAAGTAATTTCCTCTTCCTGCTTCACATTTCTGCTTTTGGGCTTGAGATTTCTGCCTCTCTCTTTGCTGATGCTTATCAGAGTAACTTTCTACAGTTTTTGTGGGTATGCAAGGCTTCACCTGTCACTTAAGAAAAGCTTACTGCAGCACAGAAGGACCTATCACTTTCCTGTTGGCTTTCACCCAGTTTCACACAGTGATGTATTTCCAATGCCATTTTTAATGATACTGGTTGTAGGAGGATCAGTGTTTGTGACTGTCATGTACAGTTTATCAGCCAGCTTGCTGTTGTCATTTTTATGGGTTTTATGAGCTTACAAATACTCTAGACAGGTTGGCAGCCTGTTTCACCTCTCAGTAGTTTCAGAAATCCCAGGGACTTCAGTTATTATTTGTTGCTGGTGTTAGGAGAGCATCCTCAGGCCCTAAACATGATTGGGCGAAGAGACTCTAAAATACCAGGTTGGAGAAACAAACCTGACAAAGAATATAAATGCATTACCTGCTGTTTACAAAGCTGAAAGGGAGGTGAGTTTTTGTGGCTTTTTAGAACATTTGGCATATTCCCAGTGCCATGCAAATACACGATAACATTACAAAGAAAGGCTGTGAAATACTTTTGTTTTAAATGGCAGCTGTCCCCTGTTTGCCACCAATCACATACGCTTGAGGGTGTGGGAAGCTGTTTTTCAGAATCAATTGGAAAAAAAAAACTGGCTTGTAGACTGACCTGCTGGGGATGGCATTCTGAACCTCCAATGCAATATTCTTGCATTTGCTGAGGAAAGGGTGAGGAAACTGAAGAGTACTGTTGGCAGCTAAACTTCAGGTATTGAGATAAGCCAGCACTCAGCATGCTCCTCACTTTGTTAGGATGCCACCACAAGGTCTTCCACCCTTTATCTCCCTCCCCCAGAAAATTCTGGTGATTTGTAGAGTTATCACTAGTATTATTTTAGATGAATGACCCCCCAAGTGTTGAGTCTAACCTTGCTGTGGGGTATCTCGAAAACCATCATCACCTTTTGGGGCCATGTCTGAGTATACGTTAAAAACCCTACCAAGAATGTTATTCATATGTCGTAATTTATGTTCTGTTTTCAAATGGATTCTTATTAAAAAGGATCTAAAAGAACCACCAAAACCCTCTCATCTGATTTGTAGCACAAACAATCCTGTATTTTTCTTTTCTTAAACACAGTGTGCCACTTATGCTGTCAGACAAGGAGCTGAGGAGCATTCAGTCTGTTTAGAACTGAGACCTTTGAACAATTGATTGACCAGATAAGGGCCCTACCATTTTCTCCTTCCTTTGGCACATGTGCAGATATAGTCTGAAGTGTCTTGTGAAGCTGAACAGGCTGATGAAGCCTGGGGAATTTCCAGGTCAAGCCTTTAGGTCATGTGCACACACTGAAATACAAATATCAGGGTTACAGATAGATACAACCTTTTTTCTGAGCATTTTCCCAGAAAGTCAGGGTTCTAACCTGTGCTAACACCTAAAATGCCTCACCTCTGTATTTAAATAGAAGCTTTGCCTAAACACTTTAAAAAAATCTGTCCTCAGAGGTGTTTAGCTTTAGAGATGTCAGGAACAGTTGTCAGTGCTATGGACATGATTAGGAAGATTTTCTTGGCTTTTCTTTTTATTTGGGAGTAGGTTCTTGTCTTTGTAGCCTGCCCAGTGCTTTTCGGCAGTCACACCACAGAGACTGCTCTTGATTTCTAAATTACTAATGTTTAGAAGTCATCTTTTTGTCACTTGCAGTAAGTAACACAGAGGGAAACATCTACTAGAGTGGAAGAAAGGAGGTATGTTCTGTTTAAGCTGTTCTAAAACCAACCATTTAACTTTGTACCAGATAAATCTCATTTCATATTAGTGAATCTGTATTTCTTGCATCAACTCTGACTTTCAGGAAGCCTCTTCCCTGTCTCACTCACTTTGGACTATGGTCATCAGTTAATTTACAGGAGACAGAGGGTATGTGCTTTGAGGTGGGCAATGCTTTTGATATGCAATTTTAAACTGAGTTTTTAATTTATTCTTTTATCAAGTTAAAAACCCTGTGGCAAGTCCCCAAGGAAGGTGTGGGAGTGAAGCCAGTTCTTTCTCCTCCAATCTCTGAAAACAGTACAGAAATGCCCAGCAAGGGATGTCTTCCAGTCTGTCCTTTTCACTCCAGAAGCCTCTTTATTTTATGTCTGCTTGTGTACTCCCAGTTTCTCTTCTTATCCACACTGGAGCTCAAGGCAATTTTGGGTGTCTCGGAAAAGTCCAGCTGATATTTCACAGTATTCTGCTGGGGCTTTTAGGAAATGGTTTTTAGGTTTTGCACCAACCATGCCAAAGCTAGGACAGAGGAGATGTGCAGAGAGGAGAGCAGTGAAGCTGAGCAAGCTTAACAGAAATGCTGGAGGGAAGGTCTGTTGTGAGGAAGGGGAGAACAGGGACACAGTGATAGTCTGCCTTCTTCTCTGCCCTGAGGTGCTGATAGGTGTGCTCTTCTTGCTTGAAAATCTGGATCTTCCCTCTAAGAACAACTGTGGCCACTACCATGTTTAGAAATAAGAAAATAAGTGGCTGCTTGATGGCAGTAATATTGAGAAACTGAGGCAGGACTCAAGCTGATGCCTCAGTGTAAAATAGCCTGCTGTAATTATGGCCTGCTGTTTGTTTTGAATCCACTTGCTGCTGCACATTGTTTATTTGTTTAATATTGCTTTATTCATGCTTTGCACTACCACACTTATCCATCCTTTGCCAAAATTATATTGTTAATGATAAACTGCATGTGGCACTCCTGCAGTGGGGTGGTCAGTGCTGGGATATTTTGTGCAGTGCTGTAGCAAAACAGTGAGTGAGAAAATTCAAACCTGGAAAGGCAATAATTTGTTACAGTAGAAACGAGCACAGAATGAGTCACACTGCTGACAGTTTCTGACATGCAACCAATTTATAAGAGGCTTGCTTTTCTGCAAGACTTTTCTTCCTTTCTCTCTTCCAGATGTGCTCTTTGTAAAGGCTGCACAGATAGGTATTTGACACACAGAAAAATATTTCCTATTTTTAAACTTTGTCTCTTCTTATCTATAAAGGCTATTGAAAAAGATTTATGTATCTGAAAATTGTTAAATGTATGAAAATGTAGCAGAACTTTTCTTATGATGCTTTGATATTGTTAATAGAGGATGAATATTAATACCCAAGTATTTTGGGACTATAAAATACAGCCTGGAAGGGATAACTACCTGATCTGTGAAAAGCTATTTGTGTTAGCCAGGTTTTTCCAAGAGATCTGTGTTTCATTGGACTTCAGGGCATTTGCTCAGTACCAAGATATGAAAATTTAGGTTAAGGCAGCACTTTAAGGTGCATCTTTACTCCCAGATTCTGTAAATACCAGATCAATCATCCTTTACCTCTTAATGGTGGGAAGTTTTCCTAAAGAGTAGGAAGGGTATTGAAACCTGCTAATAGTTCCCTAAGGACTGAAGGCTCTGATTTGCTGTGTGGGAGACCCTCACTGGAACAGGTTGCCCAGGGAAGTTGTGGAGTCTCCATCCCTGAAGACATTCAAGAACTACCTGGATGCAATCCTGTGCACGTTGTTCCAGGGGACACTGCTTGAGCAGGTAGGTTGGACCAGATGATCCCACCAATGTTCCCTTCCAACCTTTGCCATTCTGAAATTCTGTGATTAGATTAGATGTCTTGATTACCTCCCTGTCCACAGAATTGTCCTTCTGTCTTGATACAGAGCTGAGCAAAGGGGAAAAAGGCAGGAATCCTCTTGAAGAAACTGGTGCCTTCTCCATAGATAAATGATAGGTATCTTGCATGATTAGTCAGTCTTCTAAATCTAAAGTACAGCTATATTTTGCACTGTAGGCTGGAGGGGGGCTGAAGAATGAGAGTGAACTTCATTAGTAAGCCTTATGTGCAAACAGTTTATGAATCTCAGCAGGAGTTGCTAAGAAAACAGTGTGAAATAATACTCACAGTGACAAGGGCTGCATAACACTCTGACACTTCCTCAGCCCTGCATTATTCCTTGAAGAGAAAGAAAATCAGCCCAGGAGAATGATAAATGCTCAATTCTGTGCATACAGATGTGGACAGCATATTGAGAAACTTCCAAAAGAGAAAAATGGGTTCTGCTTAAGTTTGGTGCTCATCTGCTAGCTTTAGTGGAGGAGGTAGGCTTGTTGTCTCCTCTGATGCCATCAGAAAAACTGAGATGGCTCAAACAAATAAACTGTTTATAGGTGCCCTTAGCAGAGAGAAAGAGCTCTTGTTGCATTTTGCATCAGCTTTAAGTTGTTTTGAACATGTATCTTAACCTGACCTGCATTGCTGAATTAGTGACAAGTGCTTCTTTAAGAGTCCAAAGAATCCAAAACATTATTTTATGCGATTGTTTATTGGACTTGGGGTTTTGTTTGTTTGTGTGGTTGATTATGGTGGTGGTTGTTGTTATTTAATATTCTTTCCTAAGCGTTTGGTCAAAAAGGTGAAGAAAACTTCATAAAATATCTGCCAGCCTGCTCTTATTAGCACCCAAAAACTTTAATTTTGGTTGATGTTTTGCAGACTACTATTGCAAATAATAAACATGACTACATACTTTTCATCTGTGCACCAGAATTACAGTCAGTCTTGTTTCTCAGAGGATAAATGCAGTGTATTTCTTTCCCCAGGTGAGAGAACACTGTAGCAAAGGTGCTGTGGGCAGGTGAGACCTCCAGGGATTTGTTAATTGGCTTTGTCATGGAGAGAGCAAGGAAAGGGAAAAAGATGAAGCCTGGTGAAGATCCTACAGAAAGTATGTTTGGGGCATTTCATTTCCATGGTACAAACAGGTACAGAGATGAGCACAACAGAAAAGGTCAAGGGCGTGACAGAATCTCTGAGAGTGTTTTCAGCAGTGACTTGACTTAAGGGCTTTGGTGGCTGGAAGGTAGGAGGGAAGGCAGCTCACACATCTGCTGTACTATATGTGCTTGGTGAGTTCAAAGAAGAAGGGGAGGTGAAGAAGCAGCAGCAGGGTGGTGGGCCCTGGCATGAAGTCGTAGGCAACGTGGAGACAGAGCTAAAACTCTTGGTTTTAAAACTACACTGTCTTACATGGAGCTGTTAATGGGCTGGGGTTTGTGTTTGCTTTTTTAAAAATAATCTTGTTCCAAGAAAACTGTCTTGTTGCCAGCCTGACCTTATTGTCTGGAGAGGGAATTAAGGCAAGGCTTGCTCTAGCAGACACAGCTGGTGGTTCAGACAGGACTTGCAGGAAAGGATGCTCTTGGCTTAAGCTGCTTCATCTGCAAAGGCTTTGCTTCCCACCAGAGACCTTGGGTGCACAGTATTTTAAATTTAGCTGCATTATTAAGAATAGCAGAGTGTAAAAGAAGAAGAAGCAATCTTTACACCCTGGCACACATTGTTATATGTACTCTGAAATGGGCCTTTGCCACACAGTCACCTCCTTAAAGCACTGGCAGACTTCCATGCACAGGGAAGGGTTTTTAGAGGAGCCTTGAAATGGGATCATTGTTATCCCTACAGCAGTAGCTGTATGTGCAGTCTGTGCTTTCAGATGCCTTTCTGTTTTGCACTAGGAGGTGGCAGGGTGTTGGGTGAGGTTCCCTGCATCTCCTACTGGAAGGGTTTCTTGAGAGATGGAGAAATAGGTACAGTTCTGTCCATCACTGCCTACAAGACCAGGGAATGGATTCTCTCTGTCAGAACTTTGACTATGGTGTGGTATTATTCCTGAAAAGTTTAATTGCAGCTAAAAACACATGAGAATTGGAGATTGGAGAATATTCCTAAGGAGCAGGAAGAAATGTGTAACTGTTGGTAGTTATTTATTTGCATTTTAGCTCTAAAAACAGCTTGATGTCTGCACCACATACAGTTTTGTGACTGGATGGGATGTTTTATGGCAGGTAATGAATATTGGAGCTTGCTGATGGGAGAGCTGCAGAAGTGCAGAGTGACCAGAACACTGCTGCATGGCCAGGCAATGTTTTCACTTGTAAGCCCTTGTAGGAAAGGATGAATACAGGTGAAATTAATTGTAACATTTACTGTCTTAGTTGAACAGCTGAACATATAGACAAAGCAAATGTTTCCCTCTCTACAGAAACAAATTCTTAATTGGAGATGGGGAGCACAGGCAAAGAGAAGGTGACAGTGATCCTGCCTCTGCTGGGTGTCCTTCAGTGGCTGGAAGCCAGTGACATCAGAATGTTTCTAGCATTACAGGAGCTGAGGTCAAGTCTCTTGATGCTCATTTGAGTTAAAAAAAAAAAAAACAACAAAAAAAACCCAACAAAAAAGCCAACAACAACAACAACAAAAAAAGAAGATTTGTCACTTATTTCTGATGCCAAGAGAACTTTCTTCCCCCATACATGTATATTCAGATGTAGTTCCTTTATTTTCCTGTAGGAAAGCTTTTATATGGGCATCATAATGTTAAAGAGTTTTAGAATTGGTTTTAGTTATCTTTGTTTTCTCATTGCCTCCATAAAACTCGTTACTTCTTCCCCAGCGTTTTATGTCTCCCCTATAAAGACAGATGCTGTTTATGGGTGCACTGTTGTTCTCCTCTCCATTTATACAGTTTTATCACTATTTCCAATTTCAGTAAGCAAGTTTGTTTTTGTCTAGAGCAGGTGCAGAGGGCTGGAGAGTTGCAACAAAAAAATTGCTTTAATGCTTCATAATTTTTTCAGATTTTGCTGATGGAACATTTGATGTCTCAGGTCCAAACTGGGTTCCAATTCAGTCTAAGAACTCAATTCTGGTTGGTGCCTTGTCAGTACAATACAGATTTCTTAGGATTGTATCCAATCCTAAACAATACCTGCACTGAAATTCAGTTTACAAAAGATGGAAACAAATGTCTTCTGTCCTTTCTTCTCACGTTTACAGCCCTTTCACAAGCTACCAGACACTGTATTACATTTCCAACCTGTGTGGCTTCGTGAAAATATTAGAGGGAAAAAAAAATGATGTGATTAGACCAGCTATTGGAACACTGCCTATAAAGCATAAATGGTAAATCAGCTTTCCAGACAAAGCCTCTGTGGAGTAGAGCCTGCTGTTCAAAGAACTGGCATGGTGCTCCTGCTTGCCTCTTTAACATTCTGTCTTGGTTGCTGGTATTTTTTCTTTCTGGATCTGCTGTTTTCTAGTGTTGTTTTATCATGGGAGATAACTTAATCAATTGAAATAGGGGGAGCATTAGCATCAGTTGTCATTTGTTTCTTTTATTTTTAAAAACATATATTTCACTGTTGGCTGTTTTCTTTTTCTAATTAAGATCAAGTCATTTATCAGCAGTTTATCCATGGTGCTCAGCTTCAGGTTTTTTTTTTTTTAAGTGCTTGAGTTTTTCTGTGAACTAAAGAATGATATCTTGTTCTGTGCTCAATAATCAACACCCCTGGGTACTTTCTTTTTTGGTCCTGGGTGAAAAATATTCCTAATCCATGACCTTTAAATACTTAGACAATTCAGAGCAATGAAATGAGAAGCAGACCTTCCTGCCACTCTACTAATATAGTGAAACATTTTTCAAAGGAACTGACAGCATTTAGATGCCCACAGGCTTTGTACTGCAATTTGTTTATTTTACTCCAGGTAAGTCTTCAATCTTCTTTTTGTGCTTCAGACACAACTCTAATTTCAATGTGAAGTGATGGAGTCTGCCTTTAAGGGAACTTGCATCAAGGCAAAGAACTGATTTTATTGATGGTGGTGTCTTTAGATGAAAAATGACAAGTTGCTTTTAATAATCCATTTTTTTCATCTACCTGTTGTGTAAAAGTTTTCTGTCCATAAAGTCTGTGTCTCTTATTTATTCTACTAAAAAATTTCCATAGCCTCTGGCATTTAAATTATTATTAATGTATTTCTGTGTACTGTCCATGGGCAAAGAAAAGTACAAATTGTTCCTGGGATGTGAATAGAGATGTATGTCATTTACTAGGCATCTGTTTTTAAAACCAAACTGCTCACATGGGGGCTTGCTCAGCTCTTGGCTGTGTGCAGCAGTCTTCTACCCAGAACAAGGTGGAGAGTTGGTGTACAGATGTTGTTTATGTGTGTATTTTCCTGCTCCCTCCCCTTTAAATCTCTGTCTGACCAGCTTGCTCCTCTGCTCTGCATGTGCTCTGTGTCATCTGGTGCTGGCCAGGGCAATCCTGACAGAGTGGAATTTGTGAATCCACTGCTCTCAGTGGGGGTACCTGTGCCCAAAATGTGTGCTTCAAGGTGGGGGAATGTCTTACCTGTTTCCTCATCCTGAAGTGGGAATCCAGCTCAGAAGAGTGTCTTCAAGCAGTGATATATCAGTATTTCAAAAGGCAGTGTACTGCCCAGGATTTAGATAACAGAGTTATGTCCTTGTCCCTATATTTATCAGATTTTTCCACCACAAAGATGACAGAATGATATTCTCAGCTGCAATTTTGAGGGAGAATCAGTACAAGAACATATGAGCACAAAAAAAAATAAATGCTTTCAAAATCACCAGAATGTTTCGTGTGTGAAAAATGAATCACCTCTGCTGGGAAATAACTTCCAGTACATGTGAGGAAATTTCCAGAAGCTGTGAGAATAGAATAGCACAAACACAAACCAGCAGACATCTCTTAGGTATGAACACAGCAGAACCTCAGGGAAGGTGATCCTATGAGAAATTGTGGGTGCCGGTCTCTGTCAATAGATAAAATATCTATCTGTCAATAGATACAAGATAAAAGCAAACCTTTCTGGAGATGGACTGCTTTATGGAGAAAGGAAAGTAAAAGCACTTCTGTCCCCTCTTGCTCATTGTTTTCCTGAACAAGCACTGTCAATTCCTGGGTCTCTTCATTGCCCTTCTATTAAATTTATCCACATCTTGTTTAAATTGCTCCTCTTATCCATGCAGGTGCTATGACTACTCTCAGTTACCAACTCCAGTGCCCCCATGAGCTGGAATCAGACACAGAGTTTGCAAAGACTCAGCACCTGGGGAAAGGTGCTGCCCTCCCTTAGGGGTAAGAGAAATGCAAACTGAAGCACAGGGATACGTGCTCTGATTTGAAGTTACCAGATGGAAATGTGGCGATAAAAGGAAGTCCAAAGAGGATCTTTCTCTTCTAGATGTATCCCTACATTGGCTGGTGTATAAACTTCAGTGAAGAATAGCACTTTAGTTGTTTTCTGGCACTTAAATTGTTTATCTTGATATATTGTAGTAGAGCTTTCCTTTTCAAACCAGAAAAGGATGCGATATTGTTTCTTATAAGACAGAAAGCTTATGCTTTTAAAAGATTTTAGATTAATAATGGTATTTATCTACCTTCTATTTGTGTGCTTCATTTTTCTTCTTCCTATCCTTTTTGTAACTAAGCTATTGGAAATGTTATTATTGGAAGTAAAGATCAGTGCAAATACTAATTCACCTGTGATTCCTGATGTGTGACTAGGCAAGGCTTTCTTCCTTCCATTTTTAAAGAAAATCTATTTAGTAATTAATTTTAGGCTCATTTCCTTTCTGCCATTCCCAATTATTGGCTGCTATTCAGGAGGGTGTATTTGCCATATTCTTATATTTCCATAGCAACATGGTCAGCTTGTGTTTTAATTCTTAGTGTTAATATGGTTATTAATTGTTGGGTGGCAGTGTCTAAGGGTTTCGGCCTAATCAGGCTTCAAAATTCTCTTGTGCTAGGTGCTGTACAGTCACAAATACACATTTCATGCCCCAAATGCATTCTAATTACTCCTTTGGGTTATTGTACTGGTGAGTGATACCTAAATTTGCTTATTGGTTTTGTTTATTTTACAGAGATCTTTTGAAGAACCAGGTGCTACACTATTACCAGGAATCAGGTCATGGCAAGTGTTTACTTTTCACAGTGTTTGAAGGCAAATCTGTGTTACCATGTGCTGTTGCCTTGTAAGAGTTGGAAAAGGAAGGAATGCCTTGTACCAGTCTGTGTGCACAGTAAAGGAAAATTTTCAAGAAGTTGAATGATCACCTGGTTTCATTTATTGAAGCTCAGCAGATTTTATGTGATATAGTAAATGTTAAGTGTAAACAAAGCTGCAGAGCTTTTCTTCAGGAAGCCAAGGTTTTGTTTCTCCTGGCAAGCTGAATGCTGAGTGTCTCTGAGCAAAGGGAGGTGTTGCAGCCACTCTTGGAGGTGCTGGTCACCTGCCTGCTGGAAAGCATTCCTGCTCTCTGCCTGCAGCAGACATTGGCACTTGGTTACTTGCTTAAGGCTTCTCGTACTTTAGACTGAGAAAAATAGATTCATGCAACATTTATGGGAAGGCCTCAAACCCACTTGATATTTCATAGGCCTGGATTCAGTGTTTGCCAGTGTCGGTGAACCTCATTAATTCCAGTGGAGGGGGAAAATGTGACATCAGTACTAATATCTTCTGGTCTGTCATCTGCTTAGAAGTCCAGGTATTATGAGATCTTAAGTGACTGGTATCTGTATCACTGGTTACTGTCCTTGTCACATATGGGGATCTCAC